CAATCACTTTTTCTATCTGTTGAGAAGGAAAAAGAATCCCCAAGCCACCCTGGTTCTTACTATATTGTCCCCACAGTGTAAGAGCGGTGATCCAGTCTGAAATATGGATGTTGATGTTGGTGTGGTTAGTGAATAGTTCTGGTGAGTGGCAAATCCTTTCGTAAATCAGGTGATTTTTGTTCCTTTCCTTTCAACACAACTGAAGAATGACCTAATAAAATTGTCACCTGAATTTATAATGAGAACAGTATTTAATATTATCATTACATATGGATTATTCGCAAAATCATGTAGCTATCATCACCAAAACAAGAAGTTATGCTAGTAATTGTCTTAGTTCTTTTTCTGCTGCTGTAACAGAACACCACAATCTGGGTCATTCATAAAGAAAAGGGATTTATTCGGCTCACAGTTCTGGAGGCTGGGAAGCCAAGATCGAGGGACTGTACCTGGTGAGGGCCTTCTTGCCGCGTAGAAGGCATCCCACNAAGCCAAGATCGAGGGACTGTACCTGGTGAGGGCCTTCTTGCCGCGTAGAAGGCATCCCACGCCAGGAAGCTCGTGTGCTTGAGACAGAGCGGCGGCATCTGGCTAAAGCTGTCCTCCTACAGGAATCCACCCCCAGGTCAACGTGTTCAAGAGGGTGGAGCCCTCCTAACCTAATTTGCTCTTCAATGTCCCACCTCTCAACACTGTTGCAATGGCAGTTAAGTTTCAACATGAGTTTTGGAGGGGATATTAAAACCATAGCAGTGACATCTTATCTGTAATAATTATCTTATAGATATTGTTTTATCATGTCTTGGTGATGAATAACAGTGTGATTTGGGGGGGGGGCCTCTATGTTATAGGTACTATAAAATAACTCAGGTACATTGCTGTAAAATACCGTCATCTAGCCCTCTCTAGTTTTTATAAGAATCAGCTTTCTTAAACACCTATATCAGTAAAAAAAAAAAAAAAGGATACCAAACTAGAAAGTGATGTTGAACCTATGACTGTGAGCAGTAAGAAATAGCCATCGGTGTGCATCAAGTAATTTTTAAAAGTCTCATTCATCTATTTACATGCATTTCAAATAACATTTTACTTTTATGTTTAGTAAGCTGACAAGTTCTTCATATGTTTAAGATTTTGATCAGTTACCTACTAATAATGATTTTAATGATAACTCAGTGTACAAGAAATTATTTAATAGAGATTTATTCTTGCTTAAAATTAAAAAATGAATTTCTATAAAAATTTTTGTTATAGAAAATGTTATATAAAAATATAATATTAATACATGACTATAGAATATTTGAGATAAACATAATGAAATATGATTTGAAGGTTAAAAATGAATACTATATAATTTCTGACTATTAAAAAACATCTTGTTAATTTTTTTTTTTAAATGGGTGATAGTGGTTGTCAGATCACTAGGATATGTAGATTCTTTTATCCAAAAAGGAGAAATGTAATTATTTAAATAATTGATATGTGAAATATATTAAAAAGTACACCACTTACAGCTATTTAAGCTCATATTGAATGATTTTAGGTGTCAATTAGAAATATACGACAACGATGTATACTCAAAAGGCCATGAGTGATCGATCATGTAGGTGCTTCTGTGTCACACGGATACAGATATTTATCCTTGATGGGTATATACTTCATCTCTGTTGCTTATAACAGAATACCCAGAACTGGGTAAT